AGGTCACGAGTTAAAATGTCCTCACACAAATAGTTGATGGAACATCTTGAGCTCTTTGTTTCAAGACTCAGGGCTCTTTATCTTAGATGAAGGTGCTGTCATCAGAATTTGATTTTTGTGGCTCAAGAAAGTCTTGCTAATTGAGGGAACAACATCTTGATTGCACTTAAAAATTTCCAGCAGAGCAGTGTTATGTCTCTTCCATCTTTTAAATTTGTATCTTAGTGATTTGCTAACACTTTTTTATGTTACAGTTGTATTTTCTCTTTCCAACTGGAAAGACAAGCATACATTTATACAACAATGGATATGGTTTTATTATTTGAAACCAAGAGTGGCTTAAACAAACCATCAACCCTATCAGATAATTATTTTGGGGAGGGACAGGGTAAGCTACAGATCAGTTAGCCTGAAATTAAGGTTACCTTTTCTTTTTTTGAAAATATTTCCTAATATTTACCTGACTGACAAATGACCGTTTCATAAAATTAAAGACTTGTCCCTATTTAGTTATCTTAGACAGTTATCTTGTGACAGGAAGCACATGCCTCAAAGATAAGCATTTAATGAGAGCTTCACTGATACTTTATTTGACTGAGGCAAACACCAATTATATTGGTCTTTATGAATTTTGAGCAGTGAAGGCCATTTCCATGATCCTATATGGGGTAGGACTTTGAAGCTCAATTAGTTAATTATTTTTCTAGCTTCTGGAGTGGATTCAAAACAAGTTTCTATGACGATGTTCCTCTGTGAATGGCTATTCTCTTTGTTGATGATGGCTTCCTGTCCAGGCCCATCCATGTCTTTGCTGGGCTCCTCAGCTCTCACCAAAGAATGCTAACACGAATAACCAATCCGTCTTCTAGTAAGCACCACAGGCATAGCAGCTCTCCAAGTATTTTCCAGGAAGTTTAATCTGAATCTCACATTTATTTAGTATTTAACATAAGTGCAGTTGAGAGAAATAATAATTAGTACAGTTGAATCAAGAACATGTAGTGTTTTTTTTTTTTTTAATATCCTAATATATATATTCCTGAGCTTAATGAGCTCAGCAGAGACTCAGGACAGAGACCCTACCATTCAGCCCTCTGCCATGTGTTCGGGATGCTGTCTCTAGGCTTGGAAGAGTTCAACTTGTTTTCTTTACCTCAAACAATGTCTTTTTATGAGGGTTCCCCCCAAATAATTACTGCTTGAGCTAAGAACTAATACATAATTATATGTTTGCTGAGCAGTTGTCCTGTTTTTATCTTCAGACTGTGAAATAAAGGCATTAGTGAGCCCTTCCTTTTTCTGTAGACTTCGTGGCCTCCTCGGAATAGGTGATCATGTCAGGCATTTTTATTTTCATTGCTGTCTCTTTCCTCTTGATCATTATCCTTATTTCCACACTAGTTCTTTGCTCACCTTTAACATGCATACCAGTGCTTTTCCTATTGTACTCTTGAGTAGTTGTTTTGGAGACAGTCTTGCAGGTAAAGACTTGCAGTCTTGATTGATTATTTGACTGGATATAGAATTCTAAGTTTAAAGACGTTCACTCCTTAAAACTGCAAAACTTCACTCCACTGCCTTCTCTTATTCTGTTACTGATGAGAAGTTTCATGTGTTTCTGATTGTTGTGTTTCAGAGATCAAGCAATACTTTTCCCCCTGGAACTTAATAATTTTTCTTTGTCTTTGGAGCTCATTTTTTTTATTAAGATTATTTATTTATGCATACTGAACTGGGGTACAGGCCAGAGGTGCAGGGCGGTGAGAGGATTCACCAGAGAGACTGGGGAGCAGAACAGGCCGACTGACGAAGTACACTGCTGAGGGGAGTATGGTCGGGCCAGGGGAGATCTGCTGCGCCATGTGGATCACCTTCGGGGCAGGCTGGGATCAAACTCATGTGGAAGTGGCTTTAGCCTCTTAGTGTTGTGCTTTAACCCAATGTGCCACCAGGGAGGGCCCCTGGAGCTCAAGTTTTTATGGATATCTGTGGATCCATTTTCATTGAGCCTGACTGGTACTTGGTGGCCTTTTCACTTTGAAGAATTATTTCTTAATCTGGTACAGGGACATTTTCTTTGTTGTTTATTTCTTCCTGTTCATTGTCTGTGCTCTTTTCTCCTAACTTTTCTCTTAAATATTTTCTTCCTCTTAGTCATTTTGATATATATTTTAAGCTATTATTCAGTCTTATTTCCAATTTGTCCATCGCACTGTACAATTAGTCCAGTACATATTTTTACTCTCAGCATATTTTTCTTAGTCTCTTGCTTTCTTTGTTTCTGTCAGATTGCTGTTGTTTCATAGATTCCATGTTTTCATGGTACACATTAGAATTAAAAAGGAAAACAAAAACCCCTCTATTGCCACCTGTTTTCAACATTATTTCTCCTCTTCAGATCCTTTTTTGGATTCTATTGGTTTTTCTCAAAAGTCTGGTGACTTTTGTTGGTTTTTATTTACAAATGAAGGACTAGATGGATTGCTGTAGTGGCAGAGGTATTTTTCCTGCCATGCCTTTTCTTTAAGTGGGAGGACTGATGATGTAGGCAGCCCACAGAAAAATTTTTCTGTGTGTTATAAGTCTGTTCTGGCTACTATCACAGAATATTATCGACTGGGTGGCTTGTAAATAACAGATATTACTCACATTCTGGAGACTGGGAAGTCCAAGATCAAAGGGTGGGCAGATTTGGTGTCTGCTGAGGGGCTGCTTCCTGGTTCATAGATGGTATGAACTATCTTCTTACTGTATTCTCATACCAGGGAAGGAGCAAGGGAGTTCTCTGGAGCCTCTTTTCTTTGGTACTAATTTCACTCAGGAGAACTCTATCCTTCTTGTCTAATTACCTTGGAAAGTCCCCTGGATACCATCATGTTGGGGGTGAATTTTGGAGGAACACACACAGTCAATCTATATTGCTATAGGTTAGAGTCAGACAAGCTGGCAAACTCTATAACAGTTGTGCAGGAGTGAGCTTGCACTGGTGAATTTTAAATCCCTTGGTGAGTACTTCCCTTCAGTGTTCTCACATCTGGAAAATCCCATAGTGCCTGAAATATTGGGCATTAAGTCGTTGAACCTCTGAACAGTTCTCTATGTGACCTGTTTATGGGGAATTTGTTTTTAGCTCCTTCATGCAGAATGTGACTCATTGCTAAAAGGGCTTTATATCCCCTCATGTACTGTTACAGTACACAGGAGATTGTCAATTCCTACAAAGGTAATTCAGGCTTAGCATAGTCAAGGCAGAAAACGACAAGGATTTAGAAGCAAAGCCAAAATTTTGAAGAGCTTAGTAAAATGATGGAAAATCTTCTGCCTGAATAAATCCACAAAGATGCAATTCAGAAAGACAATAATTATGGGATATGTAGAAGCAAAGATTAAGATTTAACAATGAACAACTTAGAAACAAAAAGAGAACATCCTGGTTATAGCTGGGTCTCATGGGAAAGAACAATGAGGAAAGGTTCTGGATTTCAGAATTATACGTGTTAGGGGCAAACCATTTAGGTGTCATCAACCATAGACAGCAATAAAAAATATTGTTTTAATCAGCAATTAGATGAGCTAGTCTGAAAAACAGGAAAAGTAACAGTAATAAGAATTTATTAGATGGATAAGAAGGAAACCATTCAGGTTGATATTAAATAAAGATACCCTATAAGTGGTAGAAACTCATCATGACCAAAGATGATTATTATTTGTCTGGAGCAGTTCTTAGAGATGAATTTATGTGCCTGTGAGTCATTTTTCACCTTCTAGTCTACTCTGGTAGAGAGATATAGGTTATCTGTATACTTTATACCATCTGTCACTTTTGTAGGTAGAGAACTGTGGGATTAAAGAAATTGTAGCAAAGATGGTTAAGTCCATGAGAATCCAACTTTGACATATGGTGGCCCTTCTTTCCAAAGCTTTCATTATCCCAACCTTAATTTTTGTCAATTTGAGATTTAATAAACATGGAACTTGCTATCTTAATTACAAAATGTGCTCTGTTGGTGTTTCTGAAGCATTGTTTTTCCTTGCTTTTGGCAAATTTTCTTGGTCTCTGAAAATTTGTGGTTTATTGTCCTGTTATTTTGTTATTTGTACTGGTATTTGCATTTGCTTCCAGAAGCTGTTTAAGTGTTGGTCACTTCCAGCTATGGGCAGGTCTTAGTCTCCTGATGATGTGGAACTATTCTCAACATGCCTGGGTTGTTTAGAATTATCATCTTTGACTTTGTGTCCATAAGGATAGTGATCTCTATGGCTATCTCACTCTGCTTTTGTTTGGATATGCTGAATTTAGTGACTTTTGTGAAAATTCCCTCTCAGGCTGGCATTTGCTTTTAAGCAGCTCCTTCCCCATTAGGATTTAAATAACTTAATTAGTCCATGATGTCACTTTCCTAAGTTCCAGTTACCCATCCTGAATAGTGGTCTGAAAATACTATGTATGATAAACTATGAGAAAGAGAGAGTACAAAGCACTTGATAGATCATATTCACATAATCTTTATTACAGTTATTACTATGATTGCTTTATTATTAGTTTTGTTGTCAATTTCTTAGTATCCATAAATTATATATTTCATCACACTATGTATAGGAAAGAACATAATTGATAGGTGATTTGGTATGATTGACAGTTTCAGGCATCCAATGGGTATCCTGAAATGTATCTCCTGTGGATAAGGGAGGACAATTGTACTAAAGTCAAGAGACAGGGTCTTTGTGGAACTAAAGGAATGTAGAAATTGGAGACACATAATGTTTTGCTTTATGACTGGCATTAGACAATGAAAAACATTTCAGCTTTCCACTTTGGAACTTTCCAACACTTGTTCCAACATTTAGGCTGGAAAAAACCAATGCTCTTCAAAGTTCAAAGGAAAGAAGTCTTGCAACCTTGACAACAATCAAAGTAGTCTACATGATGTTAGTTTAATGAGTTATATGTTTCTTTGGGTTGAAAATTTAATTTCATACCTGATTTCTCTTCTCTTTAGAAGTGCAACGGATAGTGAAAGCCAATGACCGTGAATATAATGAAAAGTTCCGATATGCGGTGAGTAAACACACATAATACATACATGCTTGGGTAGGTTTTCCTTTGAGGGCAGTGAAAGTCATGTTTTATAGGACTTTATCACTTCTCTAAAAACTTTCTTTGATGGCCAATTTTAAAAATAACTAAATTTTCCAAATTATGTCTATTGAGGTAAGGTAGATTTACATCTTTGTATCTGTTCTGGGGACTATCGGGTCAAATATCTACAAATGTATATTTTCACATCCAGCCCACCAGCAGTGCCCAAGCAACCTTTCCCATGTTCCACTGGGTTCCTTCCTTCAGCCATCCTTACCACACCATCCTCCTTCAAATCGTTGCCTCATTTTTGTAATCAGATGTTAAGAGTCTATTATTGGTTTAGTTTTGACTGACACTTTATTATGTTTCTCTATATTGCACATATAAGTAAGACTATCCCGTATTTGTCTTTCTCCTTCTGACATTTTTCATCTTGCATTAGCCTTTCCAGTTCCACTTATGTTGTCCCAAATGGTTGAGTTCATCCCTTTTTATAGCAGAATAATAATATTCCATTGCGTGTGATATATATTACATTGTGTACTGACATGTACATATCACATGTATACCTATATATATTGTGTGTATGTTAGTATGTATGTGTGTGTGAAATTTATTTTTAGAATTTTTTAAAATTTATTTTTTTATATATCCATTTACAGTATTGTTCATTTTAAAAAAAAGATTTATTTATTTATTCATACAGATTTGGGGTAAGGCCAGAGATGTGGGGGCAGTGAGAGGCTTCACCCGAGACAGAGTGGGGAGTAAACAGGCAGATCAACAAAGTACATTGCTGAGGGGAGCAGCGGGCGGGCCAGGAAAGGGTCACCTTGCCATGTGGGTCACCTCTGGGGTGGGGATTGAACTCATGCTGAAGTGGTTTTAGCTTCTTAGTGCTGTGCTTTAACCCGCTGTGCCACCAGGGAGGGCCCTATTGTTCATTTTAGAACAATGTTTACTTCCCCCTCCCATCATCACCATAGCCCCTCTTCTGATCCCTCTCTGTCCCCCTCCCCTGTAGGGTCTCTCTGGTTTATAATAGTCTGTTTGTTTTTGTATTGTAATAACAATCCTCTTTTTTCCCCCTTTCTTAATCTGGTTCTATTAAATTCCTCCTATAAATGAAACCATCGATACTTTTCTTTTCCTTCTGACTTATTTCACTGAGCATAATCCCTTCCAGCTCTATCCATAATACTGCTAATGGCATGAGTTTATCTTTTTGATTGCTAAATAGCATCCCATTGTATATATCTGCTACAATAATCTAGTTTTAGGCAGTTGGGTTGTTTCCAGGATTTACCTATTGTAAGTAGTGCTGCTATCAACATAGGAGTGCATGTATCTTTTTGAATTAATGTTTTTGTGTCCTTTGGGTAGATCTCTACAAGTGGAATTGCTGGGTTGTATGGTAGCTCCATTTTTAGTAGTCTGAGGAATCTCCATACAGCTTTCCATAGTGGTTGCACCAGTTTGCATCCCCACCAGCTATGCAGGAGAGTTCCTTTTTCACTGCATCCTCACCAACAATTGTTTTTAGTTTTTTTGATATGTGGTGTGAAGTGGTATCTCATTGTGGTTTTGATTTGCATTTCCCTGCTTATGAGGGATGCTGAACATTTTTTTTTTTTCATATGCCTGTTAGCCATTTGCAATTCCTCTTTGGAGAAGTGTCTTTTTTAAGTTCCTCTGCCCATTTCTTGACTGGGTTGTTTCTTTTGCTTTTGTTGATTCAAGTGAACTCTTTCTATAGCTTTGTGATCAGTCTCTTGTCTGTTGTATGGGGTGCAAAGATTTTTTCTCAGTCAGTAGGGTGTCTTTTTGTCTTGGTTAATGTCTATTTTGCTCTGCAGAAGCTTTTCAGTTTGATGTTTTCCCAAATTGTGTTTATCTTTTCCTTCATTTTCTTTGCTTTGGGTGAAGAGTCCTTAAAAATGTTAAGATGTTTGTTTTCTAAGGTTTTACCTATATTTTCTTCTATATATTTTATGGTTTCAGTTCTTATGCCCAAAGTTTTTATACATTTTGAGTTGATTTTTGTGCCTGGTGTGAGGTAATTGTCTAGTTTCATTTTTTTGTTTGTTAGTCCAGTTTTCCCAGCACCATTTGTTAAACAAATGTCCTTGTTCCATTGCATATTCTTTGTTCCTTTGTCAAAGATTAATTTTCCATATAGGTATGGATTTATTTCTGGGCTTTCTATTTAGTTCCATTGGTCTGTGCGCCTATTTTTGTTCCAGTACCACACTTTTTTTTTTTTTATAACAGTTTATTTTACATTTTTACATTTTTCATCTCAATTGTAGTCCCTGCGGGTTTCCCATCACCAAGTCACCCATGTGCCATCACCATAATCCTGTGCACTTCCCTCCCCAACCCCCCATTTTTGATCCCATTCTCCACTCCACCCCCACAAAATGTCTCTTGTATATGGTGGCTGTTCATTATTCTTGTTATTTTCTCACCTGGTCCATTATACTCCTAC